AAATCTAATAAAATATTAATAAATTAATATATATATACTTAGAATAATACTTTTGTAATAAAAGAAATTCTAAAAAATAAATTATATTATAATTACCTTGATTACTTTCTACTTCAGTGTTTGTATTATTATCATGAACTGACAAATTATTTAAAGGTAAACTTGAATATTTATTTCGGTCTGGTTCAACAATATTGTTGTAATGCATTTGACAAAGTTGATCACCAACTTTTAAATAGTTATATATAATAAATGTTCCTTTTGTTTTAGCTTTTTCATATGCAAGCTTAGTAAAAGTACGAAATTTGACAACATTTTTATTACAATTATTTATTTTACAAGGTCCACAATTTGGTAAATGCAGCATTTTTTAAAAATTTCACGTTACATTTAAAAAAAAAGTCATGTTCTTTTATAATTTTAGTGATGATCAGCAACAAATTTCACCAATCACAGTAAATTTTTACAAAAATTAAGGCGATGTTTAGCAGCCAATCATACAAAACTCCCTCATGCTTATCATTGATTAAAAGTCTATCTAGAATAATAGTTTTTTTTGATTTTTCTAAAGCAAATTGCAATATTTTTCAGAATTGCTATTATAATGAAAACATCTTTGATTAATGTAATAATTAATTTGTTATTTAAATATGTGATTCTCTTTAATTCTAAAGAGTACTTTAATGTTGTGATAAGTTTTTAATAATATTATTTTAATGGATTTTATATTTTTAGAAGTAATAATATCTGGAAGTATAATATTAAAAAGTTTGGATTTTTGTATAATTTCATAAAAGATCTTGCAATTATTTAACTAATCATCTACAAGGAACTAAGTTTTCATTTAATTTTAGCTAATCTAAATTTTAGAATAATTTTATTTAGTAGTTTGAGTTAGTCATAAAATATAATTAATTCTTTAGGCTTAAGAGCTTTTTGATCTGTGAAAACCAATTTGAAGGAGATAGTTTTATTAGCAGTCATCATGATTAAATTTTGCACATTTTTTTATATATGATTCATATTATATATAGTTAGATAAAGTAATATCAGATTATTTATTTTGTGTTTAGAAAATAGCTGTCAGTTATTTTAGTAAAAACGTTTCACTTTAGTTATATTATACTTTTAAAATCATTTTATTTGTTTCTTTCTAAACTTAGCTTCTTGTTAAGTGAATAAGTTCATAAAATAAGTGGTTACAACTTTGTGATCAGATTTGCATAATAAAGTTTTTGAAACTCTGCAATAAAGGAGATATGTGATAAAGTTTAAGGAGATAAAAATGTCATCTAGTCTTCTGAAGAAATTATTGACAATTTCATATTACTGTATGAAGAAAAAAGGTGGGTAATATCTCTTCATTATATGATCTTTGTGAATCTATAAAATTTCTATATAAGAGGTCTTCAATCAAATTAAAATATTATCTTATCTTCTTTTCTAATTTAAGTTTATTATAATATTTGTCTAAATTAGTATTAAAATCACCTATTAGAATAATATAAAAATTTGATACATTGCTATCATCTAATAATTTTAGTATTTTTCTTTATAGTATTCTTTATTTATGATTAGATATAAGATCTTGTATATTAGTATGAATATAATAATTTATAATTTTCATTTTAATGTGCCCTTTTATGTATAAGTTAACATATATTAATCTTGTCTTAAAGGTATCAGAAGCAACAATGTATTTACTTTATTTCTTTGAAATTAACAAATGACTCCAGTATAAGGTTGTAAAAAATCAGATTTGTTTTAGAAAGTTGTATAATTAATGTCATTTTTGTGTTTTAAAAATATAGCTTTTATAAAATCTATGTTTTTGTATTTAAAGTGTTCAATAATTTATGAGGATTTTATGGGATCTGTAATTTTATTCAGGTTACAAACATTATTAGTTGTAATATATAAGCATCAATAACATTAATTAGTATTAATTTATTTGTATAGAATTGTGAAATTTGATTTTTTAGGAAGAAAGAAATGTCTGAATTTGATAAATTAGTATTCTAGTTATCAGTAAGAATACTGTTATTCATTAGTTTACCTAGTGCAGATGATATTATAATCTGTAGGCTTATTATCTTTCATAATTTGTAAGAGAGATTATTTGAGAGTTTAACTTTGTTAGATGAGCTTTGATAGAATCTAATTCTTGTAATTTGTTTAATATTAAATTTAAGGGATTATTTAAATTATTATTATTTTAAATATTATTATTAATGTTAGGGGTTATCAAGTTTGATTTGTGTTCATTAATTTCTGAAAAAGAATATATCAAATTTAATGTTATTAGTTTTTAGTTGAATGATTTGCTATAAAAGGAATTAAAAGAAAATCTTCTGTTTTTATTTTTTAAGAAAAGGCATATTTAATGTGATGAGAGAAAATATTATTAGAGACTAATTTTAATTTATATTCTATATTATTATATAATCTGTTTCTTAAAGTATCTTCTTTAATTATATTAAAGGGTAAGTTAGGGTAAAGTACTAGTATGTCATCAATAGCATTCAATAAAAGTTTTCTATTATTAAATTCTATAAATATATTAGCAATACCATTATAAAATTTTCAATCTATACTAATAAAGCCTGGTTTATTAGAAAAAAGATTAGAAATGAATTCTAATTTCTCAAATCTATTTTTACTAGGCATTGCAAAAGCTAAGAAAGAAACAAAGACATTTTCTTTATTTGTAATATGTGATGTGTAAGAGGTATTAATGATAGTATATCTAAGATCATCTTTGTATAAGATTAGTATTTATTTGTTTAAGGGGTTGTAGTATAACATATTTATATTATTATAGTTATTATAAATTATATCCTTATTAGGATTGTTTATTTGTTATATCTGATTGATGTATAGAATCAGGATTTTATTTACATTATCATATATCTTTTGTGAAATATTATTATTTATTATTATTTTTAGCATTTTATACGTATTGTTATGATCTTTATTTATTTTATTAATATCATTTTTAACGTATTTTTATTTGTTAGATTTGTTATTGTATATATTAGTCTTTGATGATAATAAGATATTTAAAGAAAGTAAAAACGAATATATATTTGGAAGGTTGTTGTATCTTGTAATAATATTATTATCAGTTAACATATCATTATCATCTAATATGTTCATGAGTTGCTGTAAATCATTATTATCATCTACTGAGATAATATCATTATATATTTATGATTATATTTTGAGTGTTTTTAGAATTGTGATCTTCAAAACCTATTTCATGTAAATTATAAATGCAAGTATGTGTGATATTTTCAATAAAATTATTATTAAAGAATATTTCTTATTCCATTCATTTTAAAGGAAAAATCTTAATGTATTTTTATTTAGTTTTCTAATAAGCCAAAAAATTTCTAAAATTTCATATAAGAAAAAATCTGCAATAATAAAATCTCTTTTTTCCAATTCTGGAGTGATATAAGCCTTTAACTTTTGAAAGTTAAAGACGTCTTGTTTAAAAAAATGTTTAAAAATATCAAGAGTCATAATATAAAATATAATAAAAGTGTTATTGAAAATATTTATCCAGTTATAATATTAATAATAAAAGATTTAAGTTAAATTAATAAATATTAAATAATAATATATTTTTTAATAAATATAAAAATTTATAATTTATATATTATAAAGCAATTTAGTCATTTAGTCATTTACTAAAAGTTTAATCAAGATTTAGATTAGAGTTCTGAATGAGTCAAGTTAAGTCAAGTTTAAAGATCAACTCTATTTAACTCATATTTTTCAAGTCAAGTTAAGTCAAATTTATTTTATAAAATCTTTCAACTTGACTTAATTTGAATTATATAAATTTTAAACTCGATTCAATTTGACTCAATTCGAGTTTAACTTGACTCAATTTTGACTTGAATTTATTTAAACTGAGTCAAGTTCAAATCAAGTTTTTGAGTCAAAATTTTAATTTATGTAATAAATAAACCTACTTAATGAATAAGTTAAATTTTATATTTTAAAAAATACATAAAATATTAACTAAATAAATATTAAAATATAATTTATTTAGATTATTATTAGTAAAGATTATTCATCATTAATCATCTTATTTAACTATTTTAATAAAGATTATTTAATTAATTTATCAATATGTCAATCAGATGTAAATTTTAAAATTTAACTTAATTTAGTAAAGATATTTGATTGATTATCAATTAGATGTATGTATTGGCTAAAAATTTAACTTATTTAGTAAAGATATTTAATTTATTTACATATTTGCATATGCAAATAATGTCAATCAAATGTAAAACTTGTATTTATGTATGTTAATTATGCATATTAATCAATTTTAATAATGTTACAAAAATACAAAAAAAAAATCAAAAATCAAAAAATAAAAAATTTCCAAAAAAAAAAATAAAAAAATAAAAAAAAATGAATCAGAATTTAAAAATTAGAGCAGAGATTGAAAAATAAATCTTTGCTCTAATTTTTAAACTCCACTTCATTTTTTATTTTTTAACCTTCATTTTAATTTTTGAACTCCGTTCTATTTTTACTTTTCAACTTCCGTCTTAATTTTTGAATTCTATTTCATTTTTTTACTTTTCAACCTTTGTTCTAATTTTTGGACTCTGTTCCATTTTTTACTTTTCAATCTTTATTCTAATTTTTGGGCTCTATTCCATTTTTTACTTTTTAATCTTCATTCTAATTTTTAGACTCTGTTCCATTTTTTATTTTTCAACCTCTATTTTAATTTTTGGACTCTGTTCCATTTTTTTACTTTTCAATCTCTATGTTAATTTTTGAATTCTGTTCCATTTTTTATTTTTCAACCTCCATTCTAATTTTTTGAACTTTGTTCTATTTTTTTTAATCTCTATACTAATTTTTGAACTTTACTTCATTTTTTATTTTTTTAACCTTTATTCTAATTTTTGAACTCTGCTTTATTTTTATTTTTTCAATCTCCATTCTAATTTTTTGAACTCCGTTTTATTTAGATTTTAAAGAATTTTTGGATTTTTTTTTATAAACTTTACTAATGATTTTGTTTTTTTAATTTTTTTAAAATAATTTTTGTACAGATATTTGTTTTTAATAGATTTGAACTTTAAAATAGTAAGTTATAAATGAAATCATAAAAAATTTTTTAATACAATACAGGTATAACAAATTTTTTTGCATATAAAAATTATATTTTAGATTTCTAAACTTTAGAAGTGTATTTTTCAAAAAA